CCCGTGGTGTTGTACGTGGCTGGGGGGAAGAAAATACCTTCATTGACATCAGTGAGGAGGAGGAACGGAAATGAGTAGCTCGGCATCCAACCTTGTGCAAATGGGGTCTTTCATGCTGTCGTGCCTGTTGAGGGACCCTCGTATAAAAAGGCTGAAGGAGAACGACCTGTACTGGGTGTCCACGCTACTAGACCCCCGGTATAAGCAGAAAGTGGCGGAAATGTTACCGAATTACAACAAGTATGAAAGGATGCAGCATTTGCAAAATAAATTGAAAAGTATGCTTTACACAGCGTATAAGGGTGATGTCACAGCACAACGGGAATCTAACAGGGGGAGAGGTGGAAGTCATCCTCCTCCTCCCATGACCACGCCGGCAAGGACAGGACGCTTTAGAGACGTGTTGTTGATGGAGGACATGCAGACCTTTTTAAGTCCTACGCATCGCCACAGCCCTTTGGGATCCACCCTCAGAGAGCGACTCGACCGACAGGTAGCAGACTACCTCGCCTTAACTGCAGATATCGACACTCTGAGGAGCGATGAACCCCTTGACTACTGGGTGTGCAGGCTTGACCTGTGGCCTGAGCTATCCCAATTTGCGATAGAACTTCTGGCCTGCCCCGCTTCAAGTGTCCTGTCAGAAAGGACCTTCAGTGCAGCAGGAGGTATTGTCACTGAGAAGAGAAGTCGCCTAGGTCAAAAAAGTCTAGATTACCTCACCTTTATTAAGATGAATGAGGGATGGATCCCGAAGGGACTGACACTGGACGATACATTAGATTAAAAAAGGCCTGATGAGATGAGCTGCCTTGGGCTAAAAATGGTCCACACGCTGCTGTATTTTAGCTCTGAATGCCGGTTGACTTGCGTGACTTATCCGCCACCAACTAGGGTTCAAGCCGCCATGTTTTAGGGCACTTTCTGCCTGTGAAACAAACATCAATTATAGATTGAATAGCAGTTAGTTATCTTAAAGCAGGTGTGTCAGCCCTACAGCGTGTACTCTGCCAGTACGCTGCCACCTCCTCTACTCCTCCTACTGCATCCTCTTCCATAACCTCCTCGGCTGAGTCCTCTTCTGCTGCTGCGTCTTGCTCTACATCAACGGATAGGGGACGTAACAGTGATTAAACTGATAACAATAGTACTAAACACACCACTCCTATCTGGTGGCACATTAGATTGCACGCGCAGTGCCCCAAATTTGTTGTGATCTGTGAGTAAGGTAAACGGTTGTCCATACAAGTAGGTTGCAGCTTTTTGAGGGCCCACACCACCGCTATGCACTCCTTTTCAATGGCAGTGAATATACTTCGCTGTGCAAAAGTTTACGGCTTAGATAAGCCCCGGGTTGCTAGCCACCATCTGCTCCGACTTGGCTCAATACTGCTCCCAATCCAAGCATAGAAGCGTCTGTATGGACGAGAAAGTGTTTAGTTGGATCAGGAGAAGAAAGTACAGGTGATTTAATGAGCGCCGTCTTGAGCTGTTGGAAGGCCTGTTCACATTCTGGGGCCCATACTACTATCTTGGGGAGGTTTTTACACGTTCCTATATGGCACTTACTGGGCTTTAGGGTCAGTCCGGACTCCCTAATCCGGTCTATTACGGCTCCTATGTGGGTCAGGTGTTCGGGCCAGGAGCTGCTAAAAATGTCTATACTATCCAAGTAGGTGTGTATCAGTGTGTATCAGGGATCCTTAGGACAGGTGTCAATCCATATCTGCCAAGTGACCCTATGTTGGGGTAACATTCCCTATTCTGATCTGTGTCAGTGTGTATCAGGGGCTCTGAGGACAGGTGTCAATCCATATCTGCCAAGTGACCCTATGTAGGAGGAACAGTCCCTATTCTGCTCTGTGTCAGTGTGTATCATGGTCTCTGAGGACAGGTGTCAATCCATATCTGCCAAGTGACCCTATGTAAAAAAGGCCTGATGAGATGAGCTGCCTTGGCTAAAAATGGTCCACACGCTGCTGTATTTTAGCTCTGAATGCCGGTTGACTTGCGTGACTTATCCGCCACCAACTAGGGTTCAAGCCGCCAGTGTGTACTTTATAAATGGCTTTATAAAGCAGTGTGTACTTTATAAATGGCTCCACCTGCCACCTGTACAGCAACACAGTCTCCAGTTAGGAGGACCAACCAAGCATCTTCTTCCATCTCCCTGTTACAAAAATCAATGCCGTGTACACGTCCACTGATAGGAGACGCTGAAGGTATTAAACTGATAAAAATAGTACTAAACACACCACTCCTATCTGGTGTCACATTAGCTTGACCGCGCAGTGCCCCAAATTTGCAGTAAGAGGACCGACCAAGCCTCTTCTTCCATCTCCCTGTTACAAAAATCAATGCCGTGTACACGTCCACTGATAGGAGACGCTGAAGGTATTAAACTGAACAGTCTCTATTCTGCTCTTGCATTTCTATTTCTTCATAGAAAACTAAAAATTCTGAGAAGACGTTGGCAGGGCTATTCACTTGTGTGATCTGTCATGAATTGTCATTTGAATGTTATTTTGAACTGTGGGGCACAAGAACTTGAATCTGACAAAATGGGCTGCCATATACACGTCCACTGATAGGAGACGCGGAAGGTATTAAACTGATCAGAACAATACTAAACACACCACAAATAAGGTTTCTCTCCTGTATGGCTCCTCAAATGATGCTTAAGATTAGAAGCGGCTGAAAAGCATTTCTCACACTCCGAACAAAAATATATATTTTTAACATTCTCTCCACTTTGAACGAAATGACGTTTGGGAAGAGATTAACATAATTAAACACAGGCAGTAAAAATACAGTTTTTAGCCATACCCTGTAACTTTAAAACTACACATCCCATCTTCATAATTACATATTTGGAATCAGCACACTTAAAACATAAACATAACCAAAAATCAGCCAAATCCATCCAGGGGTTAAAAAGTTAGCTGGAGGTCCCTTTATGACCGACCGCAAGCACATTTTCCTGCCCAAAACAGTTCCATAGATTTGGGCTGTGAGGTCGGTCTATTTCAGGCTGAAAACGACTGATCCCATCGGCAAAGAACAAAGACCTCCCAGCATTGTCAATTAAGCTGCGGTTAACCGCAGCTTCTGGGAGGTAAATTGCCTGCACACTTCCACTTCTGGGTGGTCTGCCTGTGTGGTACTTGGTTCAGTAAGCCCCATTTACTGAACCAAGTGGGAATTAGCCAGGCAGGCACAAAGGGTTTGCACCAGGTCTGGGGACACAGGGGACACCGTCTTAAAGGGGCAGTGTCCCCAACAAGTCTGGGGACACGGCCTTAAAGGGGCAGTGTCCCAATCTTCCTGATGTCCCAAAAAAGGTGTTTAAAGGGCCAGCACCAGTCACATAAAGAGTCCATAAGCCCCAATATGCCCACCGACAGTCTTAAAGGGCCATACACACCAAATAAAAGTGCATACATTTTCACAATCTCCCAGGGGCCATAGTCATGCGGGAGGAGGCTGGCAAATAGGCTTCTCCACAACCCAGGGAAGCAGGGCAATTTGCCATTTAAAGGGCCCGTTACAAATAGCAGTTTGTAACAAGGTGTCAATCCATATCTGCCAAGTGACCCGATGTAGGGGGACCAGTCCCTATTCTGCTCTGTGTCAGTGTGTATCAGGGGCTCTGAGGACAGGTGTCAATCCATATCTGCCAAGTGACCCTATGTAGGGGGAACAGTCCCTATTCTGCTCTGTGTCAGTGTGTATCAGGGATCCTAGGACAGGTGTCAATCCATATCTGCCAAGTGACCCGATGTTGGGGTAACATTCCCTATTCTGCTCTGTGTCAGTGTGTATCAGGGATCCTTAGGACAGCTGTCAATCCATATCTGCCAAGTGACCCTATGTGGGGACCAGTCCCTATTCTGCTCTGTGTCCGTGTGCATCAGGGGCTCTGAGGACAGGTGTCAATCCATATGTCAAGGTGTCAATATGTCATATGTCAGGTGTCAATCCATATTGATTGTGATTTAGGAATGTTAGGTGATTTCTGCCCTTTATGGATTAAAACCAGACTCTGTATCAACTGTGTAATTTTCCATGGGAGTTTTGCCATGGATCCCCCTCCGGCATGCCACAGTCCAGGTGTTAGTCCCCTTGAAACAACTTTTCCATCACTATTGTGGCCAGAAAGAGTCCCTGTGTGTTTTAAAATTCGCCTGCCCATTGAAGTCTATGGCGGTTCGGGCGGTTCGCCGGTTCGCGAACATTTGCGGAAGTTCGCGTTTGCGAACCGAAATTTTCGGGTTCGCGACATCACTAATATTAACCTAGAGCTGGATTTCAGTTTGGTTTTTATTTGGACAGCCTGAAATCTGGTAGACATTTAGATGTTCAGACGCTGCTTTGCAAAACTTGGGCTAAATGTTCCTGGGCAGATCGGGATGATTTTTGGAAATCCAGACCAAGTATTCGTAAAAAACAAGGCAGATGTTTCAAGTAAGAAATACCTTTGTGCCCCATAAAATAACCAGCTTGCTTAAAGGAATACTCCATACACATAAATAGTTAATATGTAGCAAAAGAGGGGATGATCTGCTAAATGAATAACAAGAAAAATGCATAGCGCATAACTGTGTGTATGAAATGAACCAAATGTATAAATGACAAGTGGCCACTCACACTTTCGTTGAAATAAGAATGCCTTGAAAATAAATTTCTTTTTCAGCATAAATTCTTTTCCAGGAAAAGTTCTTCCACCACTTTTAAACGCTCATGGGGCAATTAAGAGGTGTGTGCTCAAAAAGAAAAAATATATAGAACTGTAGTACACATTTAAAAATGTAGAAAAAAATAATTTAATCACTTACATCTAAATATAAAACAATGGATGTATTCTCACTGTCACCACCAGGGGTCCTACGCGTTTCGTCCGTATGTAGGACTTCCTCAGGGACTTCAGTGACCAGAAATGACAGCATACAAATGAACAATATAAAAAAAAAACCTTCCCTCCTCCACCCTTTATACCCCTCCCAATGTCCACAAAACTCTTTATTCGATCCAGGTGTTTTCGGTCCGGCGGCCAGTTTCTATGACGTCATCCTATGCGCCCGTCCATCTCGCATGCGTTCCACCGCCGAAACCCGGAAGTACTCAAAATCCTCAATTCACAAGTCACACATCTCTTTTTCTTTTACAGAGTCTCTTTCAAGGGGCATAAATTCAGTATATATGGACCGGAGGTAGAAAAAAGAGAGTGGGGGAAGGTTACACACTTCAAATGGCACTACAGAATTCTAATTACATGGAAGTTACTCATAATACACCAAACTCAATTCTAATAAAACTTATACAAACTGTATAAATATATAAAATAAACTAGAAAAGCTAGTTTTCTTGCCTCCACCAGTAGTCTACAACTGGAGTGGGCGGAGTAACTGTTATCATTTATATAGCACATTTAATTGCAACGTTGTTGCACAGTTACATTAAACCATACATTTATAAAAAACATTAGCAGGTGTTCAAAAGGCCCTGTCTATGACATCACTTGCTGCTGCAGCCTTGACAGGTCAGAGTATTTTGGCGGTTGCCATCTTCAAACGGTCGTATCTTAAAAACTATAACTCCTACAGCGAAGAGCTTTATATTGTGAGAATCACAAGACCCAGACCTACATTTCGATGCATAGTATTTCTCTGAAGTATTAAAAATGAAGGCACAGTCACAGTTTAGAAATTGCACTTCAAATTTGAGCTTTGTAGAGGGAAGTTTCAATGAATGTCAATGGACGGCGTTAGTTGCAAACAAATGATTATATTGTGAAAACTATCAGGACTATGGCTTAGCCGCTGACATGTTTAGTGGCAGCAGGGATAGCTGAACGTTTTGATATAAGATTTGTGTAGGTGGGCCTGAAAATAAGGGAGTGGTGGCAGTTTAGAAATCATGTCCTGATTTTCCAGCTTTTGCCAGCTCCCACTCTAGCTTTGCCATTCATTCCTATGGGACAAATTTCGCCACAAGAACGACGATATTCCGTGAACCATTCGGCGAAACGCTCCACAAAGTAATAGCAATCCGATCGGGAACAATCTGCACGTTTTGGTAAATTTTTGTCTATGTAGTGTAAAAACTGTGGGAGGAGTTAGGGTGGCAAATTTGGCTATAATAAGAATAATAATATATATGTGAGATAACAATAAGTGGTCTTGCTATGCAAGAACACTTAATTAAAGGTTAAATAAAATAAATTAAATAATAATCAAAGATAAAAAATAAATTAAAAAAATGAACAATAAAAATAAAATAATGAATAATAATAATATTTAAAAATATATCTAAAAAAATATATAAAAAGTATATATATAAAAAATAAAAAATAACAATATAAAAATAAAAAATAAAAAATAATAAAAGTTAAAAAATAAATAAAAAAAATAAAAAAATAAAATAAAAATAAAAAATGAAATAAAAATAAAAGAGCACACACATTTATGAGGTGAACAAAGAGTGATATCCCAATTTATGTTGCATTCTTTCAAATATTCCATATGATGTAAAATATCCATAATACCTATTTTTCTCCTCTTTTTAATCAAATATCTCAAAAACGAGTGTTTAATCAATTTTAGAAATCACTCTCATCGGTTTAATTTAAGAAATAGTTCCAATGGATTAGATTAGAGAATTGAATTAGATCTTATAATATAGAATAGAAATAGAAATGGGTCGCCAGAGTATTCAAATAGATTAAATTGAAAGATTAGATTGAATATTACAATATAGAATAGAATTCAATAAATAAGAATATCTATATATATATATATATAATTAGAATTCAATTAAATATAGAATATAGAATTCGAAATACAAAATAGAATTTAATGAATATATATTCGATATAATTAGAACTAGATTTAAATATAAACAAGGGAAGGCACAATTTATTAATCCCTAAACTCTATTTAGATGTATGGAAAGAGTTCAAATTTCGATGGTATGGAAAGAGAAGTTATTCTACTATCCTTACTTAGAAGAATATAATGAATATAGAAAAAATGCAGCATTTACATTAGTGATCCCGAAAGAAGCAAGGTACATGTATATCTTAATTCTCCCATAGGTCTAAACATAAATAGTTAAGCCTGCCGTAGCAATGCCATTTTTCCACATGAGCATGCTGGGCAGTGCCCAGGGGCCCCACGAGCATAGGGATCCCACAAAGATGACCATGGGACAAAGCCGACAGGAAGCTACAACCAGCCTAAATGTCTGCCTTCTTGGGCCGGTGGGGAGATCAAAGACCTTCCATGTGAGAGGAGAGGAGGAGTTGGGAGGCTGTGTGTCCCTCCCGCAAGCGGGCAGTTCAGAGCATTGCCGAGCGTTACCATGGGAGGAGTGAAGTTAGCCTACAGCCAGAGGAGCTGCAGGCTAAAGCTCTCTGCTCACCACCGGACCACCAGGCAGTGCAAAGTTTCCCCTCCCTGGCAAAAGGAAAGATGAAATAAGGGGGGGATATGAAGCTGTTTTTTCTTTTTATATATAAATAATAAAACAATATACACTTGCTCCCTTATCACCACCACAGACAGTGCACCCCCTACAAACACACTGCACCCCACACACACACACTGTAACCCTCTACACACTGTGTGTATTCAGCGGTCTGCGTGTATGTATTATATGTATGTATTGCATTTATTGCAGGTATCAATAAATATAAGCGTCATTTTGTTAATAATTGTTATTCCTGCGAGTGGTTGTTTAGGCAAGCCCCAGTGCACTGCTTTGCCTGGTGGCCTATAATGCTGTTAAGAGGGCCCAGTGCTGAAGTGCCTCATACCCCCAACTTGCAGTAATGCCAGAATTTTAGAGTGGGGAGGACAGCCTTTCGGTGATGGAACTTGAGGAGTACACCAACGCCCCAGCTGAAGCGCTGGCATGTGGACAGAGCGCTGCTGGCCTCTGCCCCCAAGTAGCAGTGATGCCAGAGAGCAAGAAGATCAACCCCACTGGTAATACACAAGCCTGAGACATCACATACTACTGGCCCCACGGAAGAGCTAACCTCATCCCTTCTCTACAAGCACTGGAGGATCTCTATCCAGTACAGGTGTATAGGACTATGGTCTCTACCTGTGGTTCCCAGGAAGGCAGGATAGTGAGATCCTATCCCCAACCCCATGTCAGTAGTGGTCCAGTGGCTGAGAGAGATCCAGGAAGATGGGACAGTGGGCAAGCATCACCAGGTATATGTTTCGGTAGATGCAGAGGTCGGCTGGGTGAGTGCTGCTCTTGCATGGGCAATTTATTTGGTGAAGGCCTTGGTGGGCTGGATGTACTGACTAACTTTGGAGTCAACTCGTCTGGGTTCTCCTGTATTGGTCTCCTTCCGAAGGGGGAGTAATTTGCTGGAAACGATCCTGGGCGGGAGACACAGGGTTCCAGATTCGCTATTGGGGTGTGTGGGTGTCACGGTGGCCCCCTAAGACTGGAGTCATATAGGCATAGGTTTAAGTCTGGTTGGGGGGCGATAGCAGATTTACTGGGAACTCCCTTTCTTCACTTCCAAGCCCCCTCTTATGTCTAAGTCACGCTGTGATTATTAGGAGCACAGGGTGACGAGGAAGCCCAGTCTGGCTTGCCCAAACCAGACTTCCACGGACTGACCGGTTATAAGGGCTCCATGTGCCCTACCGGGACAAACTTACAAACTATGTGGAACTTTGTCGAGGAAGCTGCCAGGATTGATGGACTTCTTGGTACTTGATACCCGACTAACTCAGGCACAGACTGTTTGAAGGTCTGGTACCTGGTTAGTCTACATTTGGGGGAGGGGGAAAGATATGTTACCGTAGTCACCATCACGGGCGATGGAAGACAGACAATTTATGTGGCTCCCCAAATCCCTTTTGTGTTTTGGTCACCCTGTGCCCATTATCAGTGCAGGGTATGTTGAATGTATTGCTTGTCCATGCCTCTCCCCCTCCCCCTTTTCCTGTCCTATTGTTTCCCCAGCAGGGCGTGGTCCCAGGGATACTGCCAGACCAGTTTAAACTAGCTGCCCTGTCCTCCTCAATCTCCCATTAGCCCTTGCTATTGTCTGACGCCACCCTTCCTTGTACTAGGCTCCCTATCAGCCGGACATTAGGCTCTCCTTTGTGAGACCACGAACGCAACAGCAGCCCAAAATAGTGCCGGAGCCACGAGGTGATCTGGAACTATCAGAGGCCTCAATAGAAGAGGGAGATCCTCTCATCTCCCCCCGCTCTGGGACAACGACTCCCACCTCGGCATCGAGCGAGGATGAGGCACCCTCGACGAAAGGAGACATCAAGAGGCTCCTAATTGACCTCCGGAGGATCTGGCTGGTGGACCTCCAAATAGCACAGGCCGAAATTGGACAGGTCCATAAAAAAGTAAAGGAGCTGGAAGGGAGGGAGGCTCACAGAACCAAAAGTATACAAGCCACAGATGACAAAGTGGAAGGGCTAGTCGCCCAAGTTCAGCACCTACACAGAGTTGTGACCACTCTGGAGTCAAGACATAGAAAGAAAAATATACGCTTTAGGGGCATACCAGAACAGGCATCAATAGAGACACTGCCCAAGTACCTAAAAGAGTTACTTACCAACATGTCCATTACAGACACCCCTGAGCATCCCATGATTAAATCCGCGTTTTGATTGCGGATATCAGCCGCAGCACCAAATGGCGCCCCCAGAGATATTATTGCGGTGACAAGGGATGTCGCGGCGAGGACGGCGACCCTGAACCGCTCACGTGAGATGGGGTCCATACAATACAAGGACCATGCAGTAGCCATATATGCAGACATCCCATTCTCGGTCCTGGTGGAGAAGAGGAAGCTGGCCCTGATGGCTATACATCTAAGAGACCACTCCGTGAAATACCGATGGGGAATAGAGGGATCCCTATTTTTGGACAGAGGAGAGAAGACCATAACACTAACATCGGCAGGCGACCCAGAGTCGCTAATGCAAGCACTAGGACTGGCTAACGACCAACGAGTAGCACCCACAAAGGACACCACCGCTGTCCAAGCCAGGGAACAGAGAGACACTCATGAGCACGCTCAGCCGCTGCAGGGCACACATAAGGACTTGCAACCCCGACCCAAACACCAAATTGACAAACTCAAGACAGCCAACCAGCCCAAACCAAATTAAACGCATCAAACCACCCTGGGCCATAGTCTGGCAACCCACCCATCTCCCGATTGGAGATATGAACTCAACCAACCTAACATTGACCCATGGTACCCAGAACACAGACACCCAGTTCTCTCCAGTTGAAAGTTTCAGGAAAACAAAGCAGCAGACCAACAAAGTCACGCTTTGTTACCTGCCCCTATGCTGCTCCTCTTTCTTCCCCCATATTTCCCTCCCCCATTCCTCCCCTCATGAGGGACATTACACTTCGCTGTTCAAAAGTGTGTACAATGCACAAGTTTGACAAGGTTGTAATTAACTAAATAAAAATTATAAATTGAAAATAAGAAGAGGCCACACTCTTCACACATAAAGCACTTCAACCAGTTAAAGTGCTTTAGATGTGTGGAGTGTTCCTTTAAGATAAAGCATGATGATGTAACACTTCCTTTGTAAAATGCTAAATAAAGTAATAGGGATATGTCATTCTGTGGAAATGACATATTGTAAAGCTAGATAAGGATAATGTTGTAAAGCTAGATAAGGATAATGAGTTTCAAAAATAAATTATATGGGGAGTGTGATGAGAGTTCCACCATGTCGGAATATGAAAATGTTAAACAAACAAAATCTAAAGAACTTTATTCTGCAACCTGCACTTAAGGTTGACTATAATATAAGTACTTTTGGGATTAAGTAATTAAGAAAACACGAGAGGAATGACACTGCAAGCTTTCTGGACATTAGCATGCCTTCTTCAGGCCTGGTTTACCAAATAAAGCTTTTACACCATGACTGAAGAAAGAACATTCATATCTTAAAAGCTTGCTGTGATTATCCTTCCAGTTAACAAATAAAGCTGTTGTTACACTTGTATCACTTTTTATGATTTTTGATTAATCACCAAACATTTTGCATCTATGCCACTGGTTAACTTATATAGCACGCTGTTGTGGTTATGGTTATTGCCTCCATATAAGTAGTTAAGCCATTTGCTAACTGTTTACCGGTCAGCTCCTTCATGAAAGCCGAAAGCTCTCTTTGTTGAGCTGCAGGGCTCGCTGGCTGAGAGTGATCAGGAGATTCCAGCTCTCAACGAACAGTTGGGTGGACACCAGGTAATGTGTCAAACCAGTTGCAAACAGTTTGACTACTTACGTTGAGGTTTGCCAGGACACAGCATCCTGTTGTGGTTATGGTACTTGGAGTACTCCTTTAAGAAAGTAATTTGTTTTGGTAGGGCTTTGACCAAGCGCCCAATACCGGTGTGAAGCGCCATAAGCATGCATTTTGCCTACTACTGTATTTTTGCCCCTTTCACCATGGTCCCATATACGGAGGATTTATACTTTACAATGGATGAATACAGTTCTACATCATTTACGGGTTTAGAGTCTTTCACTGTCGGTTTCTCAAACAACCAGGAACACAAGGAACTTGGGAATTAAAACTGAAGAGATTCAGGTAGAAAACCTAATGCTCAGGCACAGGAGTGCTTACGTTCATAGTATTTATAAAGCGGATAACGTGATACAGTCAGTGCACTGTAATAAATGGAGCCATTAAAATTCCAACCACATCTTAGTGAAAAGTGAATAAAGCTCTGGGTGATAAAATGACAGGACAATTTAGCTTGCTGTAAACCTGAATGATAATAGCAGTGAGGGTTTCAATGTGGCTACACACAAAAAAATATTAGAATGCAATTATTAGAATGCACCCACCTGTCTTAATACACAAAACAAATGACATAAACATGTAAATTCCATGAAGAAATGCAGTTTGTGAATATTGGCAATTTCCCTGTCAGATTGCAAATCCTCATTGTTGGAGGCCCCACAGTATTAGTAACAATAGGTTTAAATTAATATCACAACATTGTACTAAAATTAAAAACTGTACATCAGAACACAGGGTATGTAAAACAATGACAGGCAATGCAGCAAACTAATAATAAACATAATATAATAAATATCATCATAATAATAATAATAATAACATAAAGTGAACCACTATCTTAACTTTCACCCATTACAAGCCGGCGTTCTATCACACCCCAGTCACTCTTGCCAATGTCAAAAATGGCCGCCGCAGGGTGTCTGCGCTCAGCGTCACATGCCCCATGTCTCGTGACCAGGAGTACTGAGCGGTGATTGCATGATCAGCTGACCCGGAAGAATGCGAGTCCCTGCTGTATAGTGAGTGTCAGACAGGTAAGGATTGGGTGGGCATGGGGATAGGGTCCATTATATGGGTCTATGGGAGAGCAGCCAGACTGGATGGGAGGGGACCATGTGAGTGTATCATTGGCCAAATAATGGAGTTACTTATAGTATTCAGAGTTTATCAGAGACAGGGATCGTTCATTCTAAGATAGAGAGGGAGAGGCTGATTAGCATTTGTAGAAATGGAAATGATGATAGACTCTCAGTGTATTGCAGCAATTAGGGACTGCTGGGGAGTCATGGGAAACGTAACTTACAATAACTTGATTGATAGTGACTAGCCATTACTGGAAATAGACTAGCCATTACTGGAAATAGACTAGCCATTACTGGAGATAGACTAGCCATTACTGGAGATAGACTAGCCATTACTGGAGATAGACTAGCCATTACTGGAGATAGACTAGCCATTACTGGAGATAGACTAGCCATTACTGGAGATAGACTAGCCATTACTGGAGATAGACTAGCCATTACTGGAGATAGAGTTGTTTTGACAACTCCATCAATTGTATGGAACTTCTCTGTTCTGGCAATATCTTCCTTTTGAAACACTCGTAATGAGTTGGAATACCATGATATTGTTAACACAGTAAACTATACCATTAATTACGTATCCAATACTTTGTTTTATGGTCAATTACAAGGTTGACAAACAATGCGAAGCCTCTGCTGTCAGGCTTTGCCAGTTCCTACAGCCGTGCATTGAGAGAATTGGGCTGTGGAGGATGGTTGTGTTTTATGGGATCTTCTATTGATTCCAGTGTTGTAATCATGTGGACTTCTTGCATTTACCAAAAGGTGACACAAGTTGTGATTTACTCAAATTGGTTTGATTTTATTAAATTGATTTATTTATTACAGTGGTAAACTATATATTTTTATAACACTGGATGTTTTCCTTCTCAGATTTACAAATATTATGGGACCCCTATTTGTTTATAAAACAAAATACCTGTAATCAAGTCCAAGGACAGATTCCTGACTGCACCAGATCCACCCACAGTGACATCATCAAGCATGATGATCTCAGTCCAATCCAATGCTTTCATATAGGAATACATTATGAGGCTAATGTGCATGCCATGCGCCATTAAAGTGGTCTCTGTGAGACTGTATGATTGAAGTGGCAGAGTGTTACTCTGTTTTGCTGGAAACACCTCTAGTGGCTGGCTACGTGACAGCCACTCGAGGCATTTAAACCCTGCAATAAAAACATTGCTGCTCTGCTGGACAGCAGTGTTTTCAGTTGCAGGGTGAAAACGATGAGACATGACACCCATACCACTTCATTCAGAGGAAGTAATCTGGGTGCCTAGCTGTAGTGTCACCTCACTGTTCAGATTCAACCCAATAAAGTTTAAAGTTTTTTTTCCATTGCCAAAATTTACTTGGTGCAGCCGCCTGTGCCTCCTAATTAATGAGAAATGGGCCACATGTACCTCCAAATATGTGTTCTTCAAATCCAGACATGTGAACTAGATGTCCTTTTGAAGTAGGTCTCTTCAAATATGGATACCCTCCATCTTGAAGTGGCCTGTACACCATATAGTAATTGAGATGATGCAGATTGACTGACTGGTTAAAAAACAAACTTCAAAACTAGGAAAATGTTGCTGAAAAAAAAACGTAGTTTTCTAAATGGACAGCTCCCTTGGCAAACTATGCCTGCTTCCTCATATCCATCGAGGGTTTTGTGAAAAAAAACCACGAGAGGCCAGGGTGACGCGTTTTGAGTTGGTTTTGAATGGAATAGATTATGTAACCTTGGACAGTCTGCAAAACATAGGCATCCAGCATCATAGTCATCTATTGGTATAGGAAAACAGAAAGTCTGTCAGGGTGAGAGAGTGGGAAGAAGCGGGCTCTCCCTCTGCCTCTTGAGCTCCTGCCATGATTCTTTTTTATTTTGGGGAAGAGAAGTTATCGATGAGCCAGGAAAGAAGGATGTTGCTTGTTCAATTCATGGTCCTGTGATGTCCAGAAGCTTGTTTTGTGCCATATATACACCCTTCTCGATTCCCTTCTAGGGATTGGGACCACTCTGAGACATAATTATGACTACCCCAGAGTCAAACACTGCTGTCATGGCCATATTATCTGAAAGGACAGGCATTGAACATTCCACTTTGAGGCGATTGCATACCTTTCCTCGAAGGGCTTTCGTAACCAGTAGTGAATGTAACAGGCTAAATGATACGGAAGTGCCTATTAAGATGAATGAGGGTATCGGATATTCCCTAGATCATATAGGACTCGTCCTCTTGCGTACAAGAAAACCTTGAGGGGAATGGGCTCACCAATGAGGTCTGTTAAAACAGAGTAACCAATGAATCCCCTGTGACAGTATAAATGGAGACTCACCCCAGGGCATCTGGTACTGTCAGTACAGTCCAGAGCAAAATCAGAACATTTAACCAGTGACAGGTGGTTTATGTCAATGAGTGAGGCACACAGTGGCACAATCAAAGCAATAATAAACATATCAATGATATGTACTTGTATAAGAGACAAAGGAAAGCTGAGGAAGCAAAAGGGGGACAGAAGAACTCCCACTTGCTGCTGATATAAAATCGTGGTTGGTCCTGTAGGCAAGATGGCCGCCTCTCACATACGGGTCCGAGGGAGATGGCCTCACTATGCCCCTGGAAGTGCCATCGGGCCCCAGATAGCCACGCTGAAGCTAAAAGGGGTGGTGGCAACTGGGAAAAATGGTGCTGCTAATGAGAAAAAGGAATGGAGTCACACTGTGTTGGAGTGAAGGGGCAGAAGGGGAGAGCACACTAAAGTAGGGAAACTAAGTGATAAACACAATTACAATAAATAAAGGAGTGTAATAAATAACAAGTTGGGCAAATAAGTAGTACAGTGTGAGCTACAGGAACCCAAAACTCTGGCCTGTGCTGGTGCAGGAGCAGCAAAGAAAGTGAAAGTGCTTATATGACCATGTCCTTATATTACCTTCTACTTCTGTTCTGATTGGTTTATAGTTTCTCTTGTTAATTTGTGCTGCTGTTGGAGTTGGTAAATGACGTTTAAAGCAATATACAAAGCCTACTGTCATGTGCTGAAATATTTTTTTCCATTTTAGATGTATTGCAAGTGTTGGCAAAGTAGGTATTAATCAGTTGCCATAATCTAATTTAGACATATTTGTCCTGTGATCATATAACATGGATTTATTTCAGTAAATGCCTTATGGTAAATGCATCTTGTAAATAGGGAGCAATGGTATAAGCCAGTATTGTTATAATAACAAGTCCATCAGAGAATTATATTGGAGGAAGATGATTTGTTATAGGCATCATGTCTCACACATTCCTTTTGTTTTGTATTGTACAGTGCTCCCCTGTATTGCTTCTGCCAAACGTTGCCATGCCAGAACACCATGATACCAGTTTACCTCCGGAGGAGAGGATCCGGGCTCTAATTGCATTAGGGACCTCTGTCGAAGTGAACGATGACATCCCTCCAAGGCGCTATTACCGATCTGGTGTGGAATTGATACGCATGGCTAATGTGTATGCCAGCGAGGGAAACACTGAACATGCATTTGTTTTATACAACAAGTATATCACGTAAGCACCTTTTGTCAATATCTGTCTTCTTATTAGCTCTTTCATACTCCCAAAATGAACCTATACTAGCATCCTGAACATATACAACTACTAATTGCTGAGCAAATAAACTTGCTTTTTTTTTTTTCTTCTTCTCTTAAATAAACAAGAGACTTCCATGACCAGTTCTTATTAAAAGGGAAATGTTTGTGTAATATAGTATACAAAAATACACCTCCTGTTTAAAATTCTTATTTTCCCTATAAAAATGTTGCTAAAACCCCAGTAAAGACATATTAATGTGATGCCACTTCATGATTTTTAATTAAAGGAACACACTAAGGTTAATATCAAATATATATTTTTTCTTCAATCCATTTTATTTATTGAGATGATATCATATAAAATACGACAGAAAGTACCAGCATGTGACAAAATATTTAGGCGAGTAATCGACATTATGGGTCAAATGGCTTAGATAGTGCCAGACAAGTTGAATGGTAGAAAGGAGATGGAATTGTTGGCGCTTGTATTCTGTATATGTGGCAGCTAGGGCTTCCCAAACCAGACTCTCTTCTTTCTGGTGGTGTAGTGAATGTGCAGATTGCTTCCCTGCACCCCTCTCTACACATTCGCTGCTTCCCTGCACCCCTCTCAGCACAAAAGTTAAATGGTATCTGCATCAAAACCACTTAATTAAGATGAAGTGGTTTTGTTCCTTTGAGTGTTCCTTTAAAGGAAGACTGAAGGCACCATAACCACAGCAACTGACTGAAGTGGATATGGTGCCTGGAAAACATGGGCACCAGGTCCTGCATCAGTGCTAAATGGTTTACTAAACCTAGGAGCCTGAAGCCCGGCCTCCCATGATGATATGGCAGAGTTGGAGCTGTGCCCTGCTTCACACCATACCAGAGGTGGCGGGCAGATATTGGCTAGATCACTGGCCACAGTCTCTGGTATGGATTGGTATGGCACAAGGCAGAATCATAGCTCTGCCTCTGTCGTATCATTATTGGAGGCCAGGCTGCAAGCTTCCAGGGACAGAGAATCTCTACTAAATGGAGGGAAAACTGTTATTTAGTGATATGGGATCCAGCACCCATGGACTCCAGGCACAACAACTAATCAGTTGAAGTGATTATGGTGCCTACAGTGGTACTTTAATTCTTTCTCATTTGATGTGCTGATCACTAATCATGACTTTGCGTAAGCCATCTCTTTCTGCCTCATTTGCTTTGTCTTGGTGCTTCTTCCCTCTCCTCCATATCCATCTCAGAATGCTTCAGCTCTTCATCTTTTCGTTATTAGTTTCTCTTCTTCCACTTCTACTTTTTCACTTCATGCATTGCTTCAGAGGAGCTGACGCAATGGTTGGAGAATCATTCATTCAAGCTGATTGGATCTCAACTAGCTTTGAGGAAGAGAAGCTGGCTGAGATTTTCAGATGAAGTGAAGGACTAGTAGCTGAGAATCTGATAGTCCGAATACGAAGAGGACAGGTAAATTAAAAAATAAAATTTCAAATAAAAAATGCAAGAAATTATTAAACTGCTATTAAAAATGAGACCCATAAAACTGAATCCATTCTCAGTAAAAATGAAGTTACAACTTTGGCAATTTAAATGATTTTCTGTTTCTTCTTTTTGACCCTCCTTTGTAAATACTTCAATACTACCTTGATTAGGTAATTGCTATGTAAACCGTTTTCATTTAAAGTGCACACTGATTTAGAAGTTTAATAGAAACATAGAAACATAGAATGTGACGGTAGATAAGAACCATTCGGCCCATCTAGTCTGCCCAATTTTCTAAATACTTTCATTAGTCCCTAGTCTTATCTTATAGTTAGGATAGCCTTATGCCTATCCCACGCATGCTTAAACTCCTTTACTGTGTTAACCTCTACCACTTCAGCTGGAAGGCTATTCCATGCATCCACTACCCTCTCAGTAAAGTAATACTTCCTGATATTATTTTTAAACCTTTGTCCCTCTAATTTAAGAGTATGTCCTCTTGTTGTGGTTGTTTTTCTTTTTTTTAAACATACTCTCCTCCTTTACTGTGTTGATTCCCTTTATATATTTAAATGTTTCTATCATATCCCCCCTGTCTCGTCTTTCCTCCAAATAATTAATTAATTATTAGTTTGATTTGTTAATAGAGCAACATCTTATCACAAGTTATCCTTTCAGAGTTGGATACCTGATGCACATCATTTGGATGAGATGTGATTGTGTGTGTCTTACTTTGTGCTTACTCTTCATAAAAAAAAAAAAAAAAAAAAAAAACATTATGCATGTTAATACACTTTGGACATAGGTGGGGCTGAAGGTTTCACTTCCCTGAAGCGTTTCTTCATAATAAGTTCACTGAATATGTGTTAGAGAGTGATGTAGCAGCATTGATATATCTCCCAGCAGTCCTACATCTTTCAGGGGAGTCCTTGGTTTGGGACCCATGTTATGTGTCCCAGGTGTTTTCCCTGCGTCCTGCTTATGGGAACATGTTAATAAATGCAGGATCAATCTCTCACTTGTATTGCATCATTGACACACCCTTTCTCTGACCCTGTCCCCTCCATTCCTAATCACCAGGAAGTTTATCTGTGAGGCAGTAGGTGCACGTGACTTTGCACAATTTGTTGAAATGTACCATGTTAGCCTGTGGCATCACACTGACAGCAATGACTCAGATGTTCATTGTAATAATATTATAGACACTGTGTGACTATAATTTGCTAAATTAAAGGGACACTACAGTCACCAGAACAACTACAGCTTATTGAATTTGTTCTGGTGAGTAGAATCATTACCTTCAGGCTTTTTGCTGTAAACACTGTCTTTTCAGAGACATTACAGCCTAGTGATAACTTTACTGGCCACTCCTCAGATGGCTGCTAGAGGTGCTTCCTGGGGCAGTTCCGTGTCTACAAGCTGCAAACAAAAGTCACTTTATTTTACTTATTTACATGTTTAATGGTGCCAGCGAGCGTCATGCTTATTTCAGTTTCCCACTAGATTTAAAGGTAACTAAACCGTTTTAATTGAGCAGTTAGCCTGGCTAACTGTTTGGAATACTGGCAGCTGAATATCACCTCTTTGAGAGATTTGTCCGTAGCTGGCTGAGAGAAGCACAAGTTGAGCTATCCCTTTAAGAGCAAACCAGCCCTGATATCCTTCCCGTACAATGTTAGTCAGCGCTGCTGGGAAGGTGAAGAATGTCACAGAGAACGTTATTGATGGCATAGGCCGATATACAGAAAGGTGCTGTATTTCACTGGTAAATCCCTTTATCTTGTCGTACAACTTCCTGCAGGGTCTTAGAAAGACCAGTTTAATTGTAAAAAAAATTTAACAGTAAACTTTTCTTAATTTGTATATGTTAGGCAATATTCCACGCTTTCTCTGTTTCTGTATTTGCTGTCTCTTTGACAAGTAGGTATGCTTTAAAAATAGTCATTCAAAGTGTGTATCTATCTCTCTCTCTCTCTCTCTCTCTCTCTCTCTCTGGGTGGCAGCAATAACTATAGTACCCTTCAGCCCCAATACATAGAATTAGGGCCCTCAACCCTTCTGTTCCTGTATGTCCAACTTGTCTGGTTACAACTACATGTTTGTTAGTCCACCCATTGTACAGCGCTACGGAATTTGTTGGTGCTTTATAAATATTAATAATAGTAATAATAGTAATACTTTAAAAAGTGACTTTCTTTCCTGGACTGGAGTCTCTTGGTGTTGTTTTACTTTAAGGTGTTAAGCTGTGATCAAATGATCTAACACCTGCAATGCTTTTTTTTTTTTTTTGCCACCTTATCTTCTCAACCAACATACTGGGCATAGGTGGGAATCACTGAGAAGCATTAGTCAGTGATGATTGGCTGAGTGTGTCAGCTGATGCTGTCAGCCTATCGCTGGCTGCCTATGCAAGCTCAGTATGCGGGCAGTGGCCAAACAGAGAAGTGACTGGACAGCAAGGATGAGTGCCCAAGGGTCATCGTAGGTGTTGAACACCTTAAAGGACCACTCTAGGCACCCAGACCACTTCAGCTTAATGAAGTGGTCTGGGTGCCAAGTCCAGCTAGGATTAACCCTTTCTTTTATAAACATAGCAGTTTCAGAGAATGTTTCAGAGAAGCTATGTTTGTGAATGGGTTAAGCCTTCCCCTATTTCCTCTACTGGCTATCTCATTGACAGCCGCTAGAGGCGCTTGCGTGCTTCTCACTGTGATTTTCACAGTGAGAGCACGCCAGCGTCCATAGGAAAGCATTGTGAATGCTTTCCTATGCGACCGGCTGAATGCGCGCGCAGCTAGCCGACAGGGAGGATCGGAGGAGGAGAGCTCCCCTCCCAGCGCTGGAAAAAGGTAAGTTTTTACCCCTTTCCCCCTTCCAGAGCCAGGCGGGTGGGGGCACCCACAGGGCACTGTAGTGCCAGGAAAACGAGTATGTTTTCCTGGCACTATAGTGGTCCTTTAAGGTATAACAGCAGCCTGTGACTCCAGCACTGAAAATAACAACTGAGAAAAGAGTAATTAGTCACAGATGTGCAAAAAACTGATTGGAATATATAGTCTGATAAATCTTACCTACTATCAAAGATATTTATTTAGGTTTCAGGTAGGGATTATATCTGTAGCCTTTACTCTATTCAGTTCAGTAGAAACATTCTTCTTTCTTTTATGTGTGTGTGTATGTGTATGTATGTGTGTGTGTGTGTATGTATGTGTGTGTATATATATATATATAATATAAATTTTAGTTATTTATTTATAACATATATATTCCTCATATTGGGTCTTCTACCAGAGGCCTGGGAGTCTGAGGGTTCTGCGCAGTATCTTAGCTATTCCTAGATCTACACTCTAATGGACAGCGATCTCAGATATCCCATCTGTAATCTGTTAAAGCCACTCCCCCAACCTGGGAGTCACAGCCCCAAGTGTTCCTATCACAACTGGGACTACTACTGCCTTCACTTTCCACATCCTTTCTAGCTCTTGTTTCAGTCCTTGGTATTTATCCATCTTCTCATGATCCTTCTTCCTGATGTTATAGTCACTGGGTATTGCCACATCCACCACGACTGCAGTCTTTCGTTCCTCGTCTACCACCACAATGTCTGGTTGGTTGGCCAGCACTTGCTTGTCTGTCTGGATCTTGAAGTCCCACTATATATATATAATATATATATATGTGTGTATATATAATATAATAATTATACAATGTCACTTTTCAAATTCTGACGTTTAATTCTGTTATCTGGATTTGAAAATGAAATCTCAAATATGAAATCGAAATCGAAGATTTTCGGCTTTGATTTGAAGTTATCTGAAAATAAACTGATAGGAATTGCAGCACTTTTATACTTCATCAGCTTAGGTTAAAGACTGCGATTAACTTGGCATGTTAAAGGGACACTGTAGGCACCCAGACCACTTCAGCCTATTGAAGTGGTCTGGGTGCCAACTCCCATCACCCTTAACCCCGAGCATGTAATTTATTGCAGTTTTTATAAACTGCAATAATTACCTGCTAGGGCTAACTTCTCCCCTAGTGGCTAGGAGGGACTTCTGTGTCATAAACGACAACTTCCGTGTTGTCTAAACGACGCTGGACGTCCTCACTCTATGCATGAGGAGATAATTTGAGCGCGGCCATTGCGTGGGCAGAGCTGAGCCAGCACTGATGGACATTGGCGCTGGACCCAGGTAAGTGACAGGAGTTATTAATCCCTTCTCTACCACGGGGTGGGCCTTGACAGCACGGGAAACAATAGTGCCAGGAAAACTAGTTTGTTTTCCTGGTACTATAGTTCCCCTTTAACATAATGTTACGTTTATCATATTTAGTAGTTTATCAAATCATTTATGATTGAGGCGAGATTCATTTTTTCATTTCTTAGTAATGTTCTGCCTGGCTTATTGTTCTGCCACATTTAGTTCATTTTTGTTTATTGTTTTAATAATTTTTTATTTTTATATAAATATGTAATCTGTACTTTAAAATATAATGCTTTAGAACAATTATTAAGAAAAACAGATTTCTTCATGGTTGTCCTTATCATTCTTAGTCTAATATACTGTCTTGCCCTTACCATTGTAATGTATGGTTCATATGAAGTATCACCATTAAATGCTTCTCTTTCTTGTCAGATTGTTTGTAGAGAAGCTACCAAAGCACCGGGATTATAATACAGCTAATGTTTTAGAAAGGAAAGACACTCGAAAGGTGAGTAGACAGAGCTGGGTAAAAACAGATTGTGTCTGCCCGTATTCACTATGGATTGTCTGAATTCTCACTATTTTCTTAGAAACTTAGGGAAGTGGCATTTCCCAAAGCAGAGCTCCTGAAGAAAGAACTGCAAAAGAAGTACGGTAAAGAATATGCAGAATATGCTGAGAAAAAGGTGAGCTGTAGGTTGGCCTGCCAAGAATATTTTCAGAAGACAATTGAATTCTGGTACCTTTTTGACACTTTTTCTTTTTTTTTTTCTGCTGGCAGAGGGTTGAAGAGGAGGAATGTGCCCGTCGCCTGGCTCTACAGCAACAGCTCGAAGCAGAGAAGCAGCGGGTGGCCCTCATGAGACAGCAGCAGCAACAGCAGGAGCAGTTAAATGCCTTTGAAGAATTGATCCGTAGGAAAGAGCTGGAGGCAGAGCGACTACGAGTCCTTCACCAGTTTTCAAAGGGCAGCTCCAACCTCTCAGAGGGTCCCCTTATTCCAGGAGTCAATGAGCCTCCCGTGACACCTATGCTCCCCACAAATGACATTGTTCTTCCTAGACCACCTGTTGTTGACAGAAGTCTGAAGCCAGCTTCTATAGGCTACAATGAGGGATGTAAGTAGTTGGTAATCTGTCCGTTTTAACACCAAGAGAATATCAGTAACCTAGATTAACTTCAGTCCACATTCAACATTTACTTATATTTTAATTTCAAAAAGAAAAGTACATTTGTAGTGAAGCTTGTCCAGTGCTCATTTAAAGAGTAACTATTTCAGTATGTCTCTAAAACTGCAACTAATTTTGCATCAGTAGATTCCCCAGCACTGTACTGCCTTACAGATAAGTTGACGTTTAAAAGGCATTACAAACAATTTAAGATAATCTACACATCGCTACATAGCCAGCAGTCTGATTTAGGAGGATGTGTAGAGTGAAGTGGTATTTAATTATCCTTGTTTATTTATTAATTAGCAGATACTACATTGTTGGTAAATGGATGGTCACGTTCTTGAACACTACAGCGTTAGGAGATTTTAGTGGGCTGCAGGACACGATGGATCAGCTTTACATCAGTTATATTCTACTAATGCTGCACAGAGTAAAGCTTTTATTGCAGCAACGCTGGTAACTAAAGCAGAAGTACAAAATCTTCTAAAGAAAAAAGTTATTGAAAAAGTTCTTCCTGCAGAATACTTTTCAGGAACCTACTCAATGCTCTTTTTGGTTCAAAAGCCTATCCCAGACCTTAAAGAAGTAAACCGGTTCATCACGAAGATAAAATTCTGCATTTGGAGACTATGCAATCAGCCACTCACATGATTTAAAGGAACACTATAGCGTTAGGAATACAAATATGTATTCCGAACGCTATAGTGCCCTAGTCACCGTTTAGGTGACTTGGGCCCCATTCCGCGGCGAATAACTGGTTAACCATTTATTTGCTTACCTTACTCCAGCGCCAGACTCCCTCGGCACTGGTGACCTCTCCTCCATCGACGTCAGCCTCTGAGTGGAGCCAAATGCGCATTCAAACCCGCCTATAGGAAAGCATTACTCAGTGTTTTCCTATGGGGATCTTTTTTGACACTGGACTCCATGAGGACGTTCAGATGCGCCCTCTAGTAGCTGTTAGAGAGACAGACACTAGAGGTTGGATTAAAAATGCAGTGTAAACATAGCAGTTTCCCTGAAACTGCTATGTTTTCAGCTGCAGGGTTTAAACTAGGGGGACCTGGCACCCAGACCACTTCATTGAGCTGACGTGGTCTGGGTTCCTATAGTGGTCCTTTAAACCCTTAAGGACCAAACGTCTGGAATAAAAGGGAATCATGACATGTCACACATGTCATGTGTCCTTAAGGGGTTAAGAAGGAGATTGGGCCACAAGGATTCCTACCTGCACATTCTCATTGCAGAAAGAAGCAAGATGTTTCTCAGGTTCTTCATTCCAGGAAAGGTTGAACTCCTGCATCATCAATTTAGGTCTCTCCTCAGGTAGTCATCACAGCTGCATTAAGGAAAGAAAGTCTCAGTATTGTTATTGTTAATTATGTATATAATTTTTTTGACTACTTTTTGACCTTATTTTCCTCTGTTGTACAGTGCTTGGTTACACTTTGTTCCATGCTTAGACAATTCACTTCTCACAGCTTCCTCAAAAGAACAACAACTAAAGGATATAGAAACAGCCTCTATTTGCCTAAAATCAGACAAATACATTTTAAACCAATAAAAATCAGAGCTGGTTCCAAACAGAAGTATTCAGTTTTTATGTTTAGTCATAGACTCAATTCGTTTGAAACTCTATCTACCATCAGACAAAAAGGCAAATATTGTCATATTAATTACAGCTCTAGATCAAAATATCTGCACTGTGAGCTAAGTAATGAGGCTATTGAGTCTCATTACCTCTACTATTCTGACTGTTAACTGGGAAAATATATAGTAATATTCTTGCAGAATGGAACGGAGAAACCCGCTGATGAAAATTGGACCCTGAACGATAACATTGGTGGAAGACTTCCTGGTTGAAAATCATCAAATCACAAGGAAGTTGAGGCACCTTAGTTGGCCCTCCTGAGTTTCAGAAAACTTCTCCAAGGACATCACTTCAAGTGACATCGGACAATGCTACCAAAGTTACATTTCTAAACGGGTAAGGAGGAACTAGTTTATCAAGGTGATGCATTGGTCAGAAAGTCACCTTATTCATCTACTTGCAGACCATATCATAGAAGAGACAAATATTCTGGCGGATGCGCTAAGTAGGTACCAGTTAAAGCAGGAAGATTGGTCTTTTTTCCATCTGACTTTTCAGGAGATAGTTTTGGAAATTTGGACCTACAGAAATAGACCTTATGGCCTCAAGAAAGAATAGAAAAATCTGGAAATTTTCTTCAATCAGCTATTCCAACTATCCAAACTTTCATCTGGCTTACATCTTCCTTCCAGTTATTTTAATTCCAAGAGATTTGCAGAAAGTTATTCTGAACTATGCAAGAATTATAGCGATTCTTCCATTTTGGACTTTCAGGAGCTGGTTCTCACTCCTTTTGAATCTCTCGAAAACACATTTTATGGTATCTTCCACTTTCAGAAAACATTTTGATACGCAATTTGTTCCCGCTAAGTACTCTGAAGAGATTCAATCTCACAGTGTAGTATCTAAACAGCAGATACTGAGCTCCAAAGGCTTAAGCCCCGAAGTTATTGATATCCTGGTCTCTTCCAAGAAAGAATCGACGCATATTCCAGAATTTTGAAAAACTTTCCTTTCTGGTGCTTGAAATTTATGAAACTCCTTTAACAGCTTTGATCTTGAGTATTCTAAGGTTCCTTCAATTCGGTTTTGCTCAGTGATTATGTCTAGCCTCTCGGAAAGTCTGAAATTCTACTATTTTTATGCCATCAGGGACATGGCGTAGGATCCTCTGAGTTCCAGATTTTTCAGGGCAGTCTCTATACTTTTCCCACTATCAGAGAAATGGTACCTCCGTAGGATCTTAATTTGCTCCTTTCCGCGCTCTGTGAATCTCCTTTTGAACCTGTAAAGGATTGCAGACTTACCATCCTTATATGGAAGATATTTTCTTGTAGACAGCAGTTACATCAGTTAATTGGTTTAGGGAACTACAAGCATTGGCTGTTACTCCTCCTTATCTTGTTCTTCATCTGGATATGGTAATTTTGAAACTTTACCCTTTATTTCTGCCTAATATCTCTTCGGTGGAGAATATTAATCAGAATTGTCTTTATTGTTAGAAATCTCAACTTGAAAGTAAATTCCATGGATGTTAAGCGCACTCCACAATACTATATGGAGAAAAGAAGACCTTTTAGGCATTCCAACAAGTTTATTTTCTCTATCAAGGCCAGACGAAAGGTCTCATGGCACACAAAGGATCTTTAGCTAGATGGATTAAAGGAGCTATTACGCCTGCTTAACAGTCCTCTTTGGTTATAACGTCTTGTTCTTTAAAAGCTCATTCCACCAGAGCAATTTCTATAATTTAGGTGTCAAAGGCATTTGCGACTCCGACTCAGATTTGTAAGGCCGTCCCGCCACCGGGAAATGGTGTATGGAGGACCAGAAGCATTATAAATTCGACATACAGGCCTCTCAGGATACTGTTTTTGGGCTACAAACAGTGATAAAATGTCTGCCCATCCTCTGGGATTGCTTGTTAATCCCTGTTGTTGTGCACTGCCTCTAATCTTACCGTACATTTCTTTTTCCTTAGGATTAGAGGCAGTGAACATATTTCCCCCTCTATTTAATAAATATATTTTTGCAGTTAATTGACATGTGTATCTTCTAGGGTTTGTGTGTAAGTGTGGAATGGAGTATTAGGAGGGGCTTGACCTTTAAATCTATGTAGTTTTGCCTCCCTGCTTTTCCTGTCAAGAGATGGTGGGTATTCCTGTTGTTGTGCACTGCCTCTAATCCTAAGGAAAAATACATTTACGGTAAGTAGAATTTGGTCTTTCCAAATGATGCAATATTGTTACAAAAAACTTCCAAATAACTGATCTACAGAAATTTCCAATAGACTTTAATGGGGACTTCTATATATAAATTACTAATCTGTGCTAAAAAATTGTGTTGAGGCCAGATTGTGAATTGACGTGTAATGATAAACTGTCATGTCTTGTTTTTCATAGATGTGTCCACCAGTGGGCTGCGTCATGTGAGAATTCCCAGCCTTGTGTGCATCAAGTTTTTGCAGCTAGCAGAAAGTAACACACAGAGAGGAGTCGAGACTTGCGGAATCTTGTGTGGGAAGCTGGTAGGAATGTGAGAATATTGATCTGAACCTTGTGAGATTGGCTTTTATACCTTAATCCAGGATTGTAAAAGTCAAGTTATCTAGTGCCACTTGCTACAACATCTCCTTACATAAGGGCTGCTAATCTGTACTCTGCAACACCCACACACTCACATATGCACACTTCAAGACACACACTTACAGATCTGCAACAACAGATGCACACACTTACGTACATACTCCAAGATGTGCACAAACTCACTGATGTGCACACACAGGCACTGCTGGAATACAACCCTGATGTGACCGAGCTTCATCTGAAAGGGCAGGGTGCTTCTGACGGGAACCTCCATTGAGGATATGTCTCACAGTGTAGACAGCAGGATTATGACATTTTTTCAGATTCCTGCCCCTTCACACACAATCCACAGCACTGTGTGCTGAATCCTTCGTATCCTGTCAGGAGAAAGTGATCTCCCTCTCAGGATGCCACTCTGACAGTACATTTGTGGGAAAGCAGCCAGCAGCTCAATTGTCAGGTGTCTTGTGTCCGATTGGAAAGCCTGGTAACTGAGGTGCTAGCAACTTCTCCATAACACTGCAGACTGCCTGAAGGCAGTTAGGGAGCTACAAAGGGCTCATAGGCCTGTGGTTTGAGCCCCATGTGTTAGTCATACCTAACCTAAATAAGCTTTCACATAATTACTTCACCTCAGACGCTCAAATTTTTTTTCATTCCTTGCTACCCATTCTTTGGCCAAAACAGCTCTATAGCCTGTATCCTTCTCACATTATCTCTACATGTTTCTTATCTTTGGTCCAACTCATGCTTCACTTGCAATTCTTTCTTACTAAGCTACGAAGCAAAGCACAATAACAATTAGTTTCTTTATATAGGTTGAGGTGGAAAGAGGTCTCCTGTCATTTTTTTCACCAACATTTAGTGCCATAGGACTGCAAAAAGTCTATCGCTTCACTCAAATATGCTACTGGGAGTAGCTTTGGCTCTCTCTGCCCATACAAGTACTGTACTATCCTTAGAGGCTGCACATCAAGGATATCTGGGAGTTGTAGTTGGCTACTGTGCCCATAAAGCTCTTAAACTGCAGGAATTTTTCAGATAAACTCAGCACCGCCATCGAAAGTTGTGGGAATGCCATGACTGTCAATGACTGGTCTAAGCAGAGCTCACTGCAGAAAAATGCTTTGGAGTTTACAGCAAATATGCAAACTTATTTTATTGCTATTTGTAATATATTGATTTGCACATATCTTTTAATGCGTTGTCTACTTAATGTATTATTTTTTTTAGTATCAATCCTTTTTGATTATTTCACAGCTATTGATAAGGTTCCCCAACACTGTAGGACCATCTGATCCGTATACCTTGCTGCACAATATATCTGCTTGATCATACTGGCTGAGGGTAGTGGTGTCCGTGTTGCTTCTTGTAGCAGCTCAGGAGTACAAATACTCTGATAATTGCCCCATCTATATATCCACAGATCTGTATCTCCATGTGGAATGCTGCAGTGTGGGAAGGGTAGATCTATAACCCATGTAAATATTCAATGGCCCATGTAATCCTCCTGTAATTTTCGTTCTTTAATACTTCATCTATATCCTTCTTCCCATCCGTCACTTTCTCTTTCTAGATGAAGAATGAATTTACCATTACACATGTCATTGTGCCTAAGCAGACTGGTGGTCCTGATTACTGCAACACTGAGAATGAGGAAGATATATTCCTGATCCAAGACCAGCATGGGCTCATCACGCTTGGCTGGATACATGTATGAACTTGGTGACACAAACTAGAATATCAGTTATATTGTAGAACTTAGTATTCAGCTGTTCGCCTGTTATCTCTGTGTTTATAAATTTATATAAACAGGGATAGTGTTCTGTTTTTGTTGAGAAAAGAACTTGCAAAGAGTGTGATGGGACTCCAGCAATGCGTGTCTATTATTGTGGTTTAGAAGTTGGTATCTTTTATTATTTGTAAAGTACAAGGGGACTTGATTTATAGTTACACGTGTTGTTAGTATTGGTTTAATTACAGAATGGACTGACATGCAAATAGAATTACAATAAACGGAGAGCAGAGAGGCCAGGATAGATGTCAGTTTAAAGTGCAATTTGTGGTTATTCTAATGCCGCCCTCTCTTCTTCTTACCTGCAGACCCATCCCACCCAGACTGCTTTCCTCTCCAGTGTTGACCTGCACACCCACTGCTCATACCAAATGATGCTTCCAGAGTCTATTGCCATTGTCTGCTCTCCAAAGTTTCAAGAGTCGGTATTTCTTCTTTTTTTTCCTTCTATAATTCTTTATTTTTGTAGTGCTTGTAGTATACAATACATGTAGTTAGTCAGATAAGGCAATAAAAGCAGTAATAACAAGATCAGCATTATAAGACAGATTTCTGGCACTCTTTTCTTACTGTCAAGAGGGAGCTGTCCTAAACATCATTGGTGGGGATGATACAGTGTAGGGTCAGTTTGGTAACTCAGGTTGCCTAGGGTACTTAAACTTTTATGCGTTGATAGGTATCAGTAGGTGAAAGTAGTTATGTCACGCATTATGCTGTATAAATATGACATGGTGGTTCATGATTCTCGTGAGCCTCTAGCTAGCCTGATTTTACTGAGGCTGTGGCTTATGTATATATGCAAGTGGGGGATGCTTTAAGCAGTGCACGTATGGTTGGCCCATAGCTAGATTGGCAAATAGCCAAAAAGAGGGCTCATGCGAGGGGTTACCCTGGGGCTCGTGGGGGGGGCGGTACCGGTTAATGCGTTAGCTCCCCCCCCCCCTTTTTCTTGCCTTTTAATCAACTTTATTCAATACTTTGTTGTATAATGATTTGTGGGCAGACTGAAATAGAAGAACCAGTTGTTGTGTTTTTAATATATATATATTTCATAAGGTTTGGCTGGCTGAGCGAGCGGGGTGGGGGTGGGTTTCCTTTTTGTGTGTGTTATTTTTAGATAAATATGATACCTGAGCAAATATGTATGGGGTGTACTAAGGCTTATCTGCAACCCTTCGGAGCCTGTAAACTGTAATCGCGTGGGGTGTTGAGGCATGGGAAACATATGGTGTCTGGCTGAATACAGTATAAAATAAAAAACAATCCCTATTCAATGTAATGCAAACAATAAAATAAGACAACTGGTTGAATGTGAACCACTTCCTTGTGTTCTTATTTCTTGCCACCAGGATCCTTGGGCTATTAGCAAATCTATACCGAGTGTTCAAGTCCCTGAGGCAGTGAGGGTAGCAGCACTTGGTACAAATGGGGTGACATTAGCAGGGTTTCAAGTCTCTGATGGAGCTCGTGCTGGTGGGTTAGTATCGGGTGCGGTGAGACCCAATGCTGCAAGGAATGCTTGTGTTTCAGTAGTGGACCGGAGCATGTGTGTAGCTCCGTTGCAGTTGGCCAGTAGGGTGCCCTGGTTCCCCCCAATGATAAGTCCCACTAGAGGATCGGAGGTGAGTAGTGACAGGGCTCAAGGTTCTGCACCATTGTAATGTTGCCCTGGATAGGTCCTGGAAGAAGTTAAGTGAGGAGTCCTCAAAAGTCAACAGAGTGTTACCCCTTAATGCTGCCATGATGCGGGCCTTATCCGTTGTTGAGGTGCACTTGATTATGATGTCTCTTGACTCCGCGGGAGAAGATTTGGCAGTGTTAGCGAGAGAAGGCGAGAGAACACAGGTAAGCAGCCTCCTGATGTAGTGTGGCAGCTCTTTGGATCTTTCTATTGTTGCCGAGCTGTTGGTCCTCGTCGGGCTGACAGGAGTTGAGAAATGTTGTAATGGTGTGTGTGGAGTTGCGGGATCTCACTGTTCAGGTGAGTTTCTGTGGTTCCGACATCCGTGATATCTTCTTGTACTGCCTTAATACGTTCAGTGTTGGCCTGTATCTCCATTCGTAGGGGCACTAAGTCAGCTGCCATCATTTTGCGGAGATATGAGAGGAGAATTTTGAGATCCCGTTTGGTGGTTGTGGCAGAGCTGTCTGTATGTTGCAGGCTTAAGGTAGGTTCAGTTTCAGGCGTATTCATTGCCTCTTGGTTCCCGTTTACTAACTTTAGAGTTGGTGCCACAGCTGTGTGTGAGGCCTCCACTGGTGTTGTTTTAGTTGGCGTGGGCCTCTGGAGCATGGCCCCTATGTCTCTGGTGGGTTTTTGTGTCCGGCGTCTCATAGTCGAGGTGCCAGGTAGTGGAGTTGACTCTGGCTGTTCTGGCTTGCTTGGGCTGTGTGCCTCAAGGAAGTTGTCTAGGAGTGTCTCCAGGCCTCGAGGCGTCGGTAGCTGGTAGGCCCTAATTTTACGCCTTTGCTTGTATTGTCGTCGGCAGTACTGAAAAGGCATCTATCGATGCGGGAAATCGTCCAGATACCGATTCTTGGGTAGGTAGGGCTGGATGGCATTTTGGGGTGAAGATATAAAGCGATTTTTGACAAGGCCTGCGAGGAGCTTTCAGAAATGGTGTCTGTACAGGTTAATGCGTTAGCACCCCCCTCCCCCCCCACCTTTTTTTTTTTTTTCTTGCCTTTTAATCAACTTTATTCAATACTTTGTTGTATAATGATTTGTGGGCAGACTGAAATAGAAGAACCAGTTGTTGTGTTTTTAATATATATTATATATATATATATATATATAATATATTCCATATTCCATAAGGCTTGGCTGGCTGAGCGAGCGAGATTGGGAAAGGTAATCCACTGATGACAGCCACAGTACTAGTTATCAGTGAATTAGGACATTCTATAAAGTAGCCTGCACTCAATAATAGACCCACAATTAAGGTTGCAGATTCTTGGGGTTCACTCACCTTTGGCCATGAATTAATAAAAAGAAAAATAATAAAGAAACATCTTGGTACTAGGACCTTTATTCCATCAGGAGTGTTTTAACAAATACACTCGATTCATCAAGCTTTGACCAAGACAAACATGAATAACCTACTAGATTCAAGTGACAATTGCCATAAATTCCAACATAAATATTGTGTTTGTATCCTTTATATTATTGCACAGATTGCTGACACCTGTATGTGGTATTTCTTTAAATCTGACTTGGAATCATTTTATAGCAATTGTAGGACATTCAAAATTACAATCCGTGGTGAAATTACTAAGTATAAGGCATATTCAGTCAGAGTGGTGTATTCTATGATTTGCAGAGAGTACTGACTTTTCATTGATTGTATGCATTTTATTCTAGTATGTTATTCTCGACTGTGTGAATTTCCAGTGAGTGAAATCTGGAGAACATTAATAAACCTAACCAGCCCATGCCAGAATGTGATGTACTGTAACTTTAATTTTGCCCCCTAACATAAAACTTTGTCATTGTAGTAAAGTTATATTTACGCTGTGTTCTCAGATTAGACCCCCTGCTGCTCATTCTCTGCATAGTAACATGTCCTACATTAAGGTAAATAATGCTTATTTGGGCTCTCTCTTGCAGAACCGGATTCTTCAAGCTGACAGAGTATGGCATGAAAGAGATTGGCGACTGTCGGGAAAAAGGGTTTCATCCACATTGCAAAGATCCTCCTCTTTTTTCAGTACGTGTGGGTTGGAAACAAACTTGAAATAATATATTAAAACAAGCATGCTATTAAATACATACTGGTACTAGAAAAATGTATGCAGTAGGGAAGACTGGGTGGAAGTACATGGCATATATACATGTTGAGAAAGTATAGAATTCGCAATGGAGTTTAGTCACTATACAGTGAATTGAAAATTGAATTGCAAATTGTAGGATAAATAGCTGATTTGGAAAAATGTTCAATATCCACTAGTCAGAGCTTGGTGATTTTATCCAGAATTGTGCAATTTAATTTTCAGTGCTCCACTGTTTAGTGAATAAACCTTAATTTGTTCTGGCAATGTCCCTCAAATTGGGAGAGCAGAAATAAATGTATTTTTCCAAAGCATGGTACATAATATCTGAATGGGGTTAAAAAAAAAAAAAAAGTTTTCCAAACATGATTTAGAGATGATGTGGTTTTTTAATTTGTGAATTAGTACACACATTTGCGTTTTTACAGGGTTGTTAAACGAGATGAATACAATATACACTGATCAGTCACAACATTAAAACCACTGACAGGTGAAGTGAATAACATTGACTATATTGTTACAATGGCACCTGTCAAGATGAGGAATATATTAGGCAGCAAGTGAACAGTCATTTCTTGAATTTCATGTGTTCTAAGCAGGAAAAATAGACAAACGAAAAGAACTGAATGGCTTTGACAAGGGCCAAATAGTGATGGCTAGATGACTTGGTCGGAGCATCTCCAAAACGGCAAGTGTTGTGAGGTGTTCCCGGTATGCAGTGGTTTTTATCTACCAAAAGTGGTGTAAGGAGGCATAACTAGTGAACCGGCATCAAGGTCATGGATGCCCAAGGCTCACTGATGCATGTGGGTAGCGCCGCCATCAGAAATTGTGGGGCCCCTAACACAACTCAAGGTCTGGGCCCCCGTGTGCCCGGCTCCATGCCCCGCCTCCAAATCCCGCCCACAGGAATACACCGATACAGATACACATACACACACACACACTGTTGTACATACATACTGACAAACAGACATACATAAAAACTGACATACAAACAGACATACATACACATAAATACATAATGGCATACAGACATATATACATACTGACATACACACACATACAGATAGACACAGACACATACATACATACATACTGACATACACACAGACATACATACATACTGACACACACAGACATACATACTTGCAGACACTTACACATACATACTGACAGACAGACATATATACATACTGACATACACACAGACATACATGCATACACACATACATACTGACATACACACACAGACATATATACATACTGACATACACACACACACACACACAGACATACTTGCAGACACATACACAGACATAAATACTGACAAACAGACGTACATACAGACATATATACATACTGACACACACAGACATACATACACACATGCATACTGACATACATACACACATACATACTGACCTACACACACACAGACATACATACTGACATACACACACAGACATACATACTGACATACACACACAGACATACATATTGACATACACACACACACATACATACTGACATACACACATACTGACATACACACACAGACATACATACTGACACACACACAGACATACATACATACACACACACATACATACACACACACAGACATACATACATACATACACACACAGACATACATACATACACACGCAGACGCAGACATACACACACGCAGACATACATACACACATACTTGCAGACACACACACACACCTCATTTATCAGCCACCCTCCTCTTACCTTTAAGTTGCAGGAGGGTGGCTGGGGATGATGGGAGTGGATGCCTTTGGTGTCCCTGTCCTGTCCTCTCCTCCGCTCTCCCTCCGCGCGGAGTAAGCTGGGAGGAAGTGACCGGCCGTCACTTCCTCCCAGCAGCATTTGCGGTGTAGCCGCAATTTTTTTAAAAGGGGCCCGGTCACGCCTTTACCCGGCCGCAGCACTGACCGGGCCCCTGAAGTTATAGGGCCCATCGGGTGGCCCTAAATGCTTGGGCCACCTGATGGGCCCTGGTGCAGATGCACCTGTGGAAGTTTCGCCGGGCCCGTGACAACCATTATGGTTGTCACCCCCTGATGGCGGCCCTGCATGTGGGGAGTCTGGTCTCATCACACAGAAGAGCTCCTGTAGATAAAATTACTGAAATATTTAATGATGGCCATAATAGGAAGGTGTCAGAATACACCGTGCATCACAGTTTTCTGCGTAGCCACATACTGGTTTGAAAAAGGTTGACCGGTCTGGTAAATCCCGTTTTCTTTTAGACCGGATGGATGGCCAGGTACGTGTGCATCATTTACCTGTGAAAGTGATGGCAGCATGATGCTCTATGTGAAGAAGGCAGGCTGGAGAACGCAGTATTATGTTCTGAGCAATGTACTGCTGGGCAACCATGGGCCATTGCTATGTGGATGTTACCTTGACATGTAACACCTACCTAGAGATTGTAGCAGATTACGCACATCCCTTTAAGGCAGTGGTGTTCACTGATAGCAGTGCCATCTTTCAGCAGGATAAAGGACTCTACCATACTACAAAAATTGTTCAGAAATTATTTGAGAAACATGACAAAGAGTTCAAGATGTTTTCTTGGCCTAAAAAGTCCCCATATCTCAATTAGATTGCCGCACATTCCAACTTGTAGGATTTAAAGGAACTGCAGCAGAGCGGTTTTGGCAGCATGAGGGGGACCTACATATTGGGCAGGTGATTTTTATGTTGTGGCTGATTAGTGTTATTTGCTCACTGTTCATTTTAAGGCTGCAGTAATTTAATGGATGGTCACATAACAAATCCTTACTGGATTTAAAGGGACACATAACTGCCTAAATATATATATTAAAAAAAAAAATTAATTGGAGTTCTTTGCAGTTCTCTTGTCTACTGCCTTTGCAAGACTTATCCTTGTAACCCTACCCAGACTTTCTATGGCTTTCCAATCACAAACTTCCCAATGCAGCTCAATGAGTGGTTTTTGCAAGCCCAACAGGATACCGGGAAATTTCCCGGTGGGCCATCGGCACCTGGGGCCGGGCAGACATCTGGGAGTGCTGGCGGCCGCAGGGGGATCTGTGCTTTTTCTGCTCGGCTTCCCCGTCCTTGTGCGCTACTTAATGAAACCGTCATATTCCAGCCCCAGTCTCATTAAGCTGTGCGCTGGGGAACAGAGACAGAACAGCTCCCCCTGCAACCGCCAGCACACCCAGCTGTCTGCCCTGCACTACCCTCTGGCCGGTCATCTACAGGAAGCAATAATGTGGGTCAGTGGGAGTGTATGTGTCTGTCTGTGTCATTTTGTGTCTGTCTGTGTCATGGTATATGGGTGTTTTTTTTCCCCCCACACTGTGCTGGTCTCCCTTCGACTGGCACTGCCTCTGTGGCTGAGATCATCAAGCTTCATGATCTCAGCCAGTACAATGCTTTGCCATAGGATTGGCTGCAAAACGCTACACCAATCATCATCTCCTCATTGAGATGCATTGAATCAATGTATCTCTATGGGGAACATTCAGTGCCTCCAGAGCGTTTAGGCCCTGAATGTAGATGCTGCACACTGTGCAGCACTGACACAGGAAGCACCTCTAGTGACCGTCTGAGTGACTGTCACAAAAGTTGTCACTAGGAAGCAATGTAAACACTGCCTTTTCTCTGAAAAGTCAGTGTTTACATTGAAAAGCCTGCAGGGACAAGCTATAGACACCGGAACCACTACATTAAGCTGTGTGTGTGTGTGCCTGCTAGTGAGTGAGCTTGTGTTTTTGTGTCAATAAGCTTATGCATGTCAGTGAGATTGTTTGTTTGTCTATGAGGCTGTGTCTCTATGAGCTTGTGTGTGTCATTGTATGTTACTGTATAATTAATATTATATATTGGAAAAAGCAATATATATTTGATACATAGATCTATATATTACTCAATCATCTGGGGTGGCAAGACATAGCCTTACATATTACATGCGACAATATTTGGCGCAATGATTTATGGGGCTGGCATAGACTTTTTTTTTTTTTTCAGGGCTGCTTTGTATCCCCAGTCCGGCCCTGTTTGCAAGGCAGATGCTCTGGGCAATTGCTGCCTATTGAGTTTAGCTCCACTGAGCTAAACAACCAGGAAGTAACAGGGACAGTTATCTGACAGCCAGGAGGTGTAACCAGGTTACATTATAAAAATGTCAGTTTCTGTTGCGATCTGAACTTTTTGAAAAATGGAGGACACGCTCTTCAGACATAAAATACTTTAGAAAACTAAAGTGCTTTAGGGTCCAGAGTAAGCAAATAGTAATATGAAGGGATTGTAACAAGGGTAACACTATCACTGCTTTTTAAAATTGTATTTATTTATTTTCTCCATAGGCCGGCAGCCATATATCTGTGTGTGAGCAGGATGTCACAATGATGGACCTGCGATAACATCGTGCAAGGACTATCCTGAACCTCTTTGCAACCTGTGACTTGCCAAATTGCCATTAATAACACTGCAAAATAAATAAATTTAAAAAGCTGTACATAGAGGGATTTTGCAGTGTACAATTCTGTCACTGCTTACTGCTCACAGTGGAATGGCTACAAGTAGACTTCAAAAACACACTTGTCTGTTAGCAGCAGAATTTGTGAATACACTCCTACCGATGATGTACGAAACTCTGCGGTGCTTGCTCCATATGATTATTCTTATAGGAACACGTTAGCTGAATCTCTCTCCAATATAAATGGAGATGGAGAGTTACAAACTGTTTGAATGCTTGGATGGATACAGCGCCAGTGAAAATGACTAATACTATGGATGCCATTCAGCATTGTGAAAGAAATAGTCCCTTTTTCCTCCAATTTTTCACAGCTTAATCAATCTTCCCAACAGCATCTCTCTTGTACACCCCTTCTGTCTTTATCTCTGTCCCCTAAAGTGGAGAAAAATGTAATTTAATTTGGATGGTGGACAAACATTTCTTAAAGGACAGCTGTCATCAAATTTTCTTCCATCCCCTTCCCCCCATTATTTATAATGGGACTTAATGATTTTTTTTTACTATGTATAGTGATGGTCTATGAGAAAATTTCACTTTTTCTTTTTTTTTTTTTTCTTAAAAGTCTGAGCAGCCATTCTGGGTTCATTCTATTACCTGACCAGGGCCGCCACTAGAAATTTTGGGGCCCCTGACAAAGCAAAAGGTCTGGGCCCCCCGCCCGGCCCACCCACTGCAAATGATGCAGGACTGAATGTGGTGTGTATAGTGTAAGTTAATTAGAATGGATGTAGTGTTTGTGTGTATTAGATACTGTTTGTGCAGTGAATGCAGAGTGTGTGTTTGTGTAGTGGATGCAGTGTGTATAGTGAACGCAGAGTCTGTATGAGTAGTGGATGTAGTGTTTGTGTGTACCAGATGCAGTGTCTGTAGTGGATGTAGTGTGTGTATTAGACGCAGTGTCTCTGTATAGTGAATGCAGAGTGCTTGAATGTGTGGTGGATGTAGTGTGTACTGTGAATACAAGATGTTTGTGTAATGGATGCTGTGTGTATAGTTAATGCAGAGTGTGTGTCAGTGTAATGAATGCAGAGTGTGTCAGTGTAGTGGATGCAGAGTGTGTCAGTGTAGTGGATGCAGAGTGTGTGTGTTAGTGTAGTGTTTGCAGAGTGTGTTTATGTTAGTGTAGTGTATGCAGAGTGTGTGTATGTTAGTGTAGTGTTTGCAGAGTGTGTTTATGTTAGTGTAGTGTATGCAGAGTGTGTGTATGTTAGTGTAGTGTATGCAGAGTGTGTGTATGTTAGTGTAGTGTATGCAGAGTGTGTGTATGTTAGTGTAGTGTATGCAGAGTGTGTGTGTGTTAGTGTAGTGTTTGCAGAGTGTGTGTGTGTGTGTCAGTGTAATGAATGCAGAGTGTGTGTCAGTGTAGTGAATGCATGTAGTGTAAATAGAGCATTCCAAAAAGGTTGAACCAGGGAGGGGGGAGATTCCATGATCCCTGTTGGTCCGGTGGCATTGTGGGGCCCCCCGGCTCCCTGTACTTGCAGAGGGAGCCCTGCGGACTGCAAGTGTACTTACAAGCTTTTCCATCTCTGTAACTCCCGCGAGCGCGGTGTGCGTGCCGCGCAGAGCGTTGCCATGGTAACCCATGGCAACGCTCTGATGGCCACGGATCTTGCGGGAGTTACAGAGAGGGAAGAGCTTGTAAGTACACTTGCAGTCCGCTGGGCCCCCTCTGCAAGTACAGGGAGCCGGGGGCCCGCCGCTGCACCTGCACTGCACATATATATATATATAGCGATCGTCGCTATATATATGTGCAGAGAGTAATTGTGGGGCTCTGGACTGCCAAAGCAGTCCGGGCCCCCCATGACCGCCGGGCCCGTGACAATCGTTATGGTTATCACCCCCTGATGGCGGCCCTGTACCTGACCAACTGCTGCTTAACCTAACTTGCCTGCTGCTGAAGTTGTTCTGTGTTAACTTGTTACAGCAGGGGTAAAGTAGGTTGAGCTGCAGTTGGTCAGAGGAAAAACCAATACACATCATATATAAAAAAAAAAAAGAAATCCTTACGTTTCATTAAATGTAATAAACCTTTAATAAACAAAAAGTAAAAATTGATGCCAGTTGTCCTTCAACACAACATAACGTTTGAGTCTTCTAAACACAGGAACCATTTACCCCTTCTTAAAATTTAGAGAGAAATTGTACTATGTACCAAACACTAGTGACATTTTAATAAGTAAACTTTGTTGCAAATGTAAGTTATCGCTCAGTGTATGATTCAAGATTCAAATATTTTGATAGAAAGGAATTGTACATAAATTAACTTATTTGATCTTTTTGCTATGATGAAAAATGGACCAGAGAGAGCAACCATCTGTGTCTGATTAAAAATACAAAAACGTACTAATTCTGTAATATTTTTTCTAGTAACATGAATGAGAATTCTGTATAATTATTTTCTAGCAACATTAAAATGTTAAATGCTTACTGAATCTGTCATATTTAAAGTTGTACAGTAACAAAACTGCTGCAAATATTTAGCAATACCTTGTTAAAATGCTGGCAGTAATTCTAACCTGTCTCACCTCTATAACACTCAAAGCAAATGAAGACAGGTTGTTTTTTTAAATGTTTTTTTTGTGTGTAGACAATGAAACATGTCACAACTAATTGTAGTGGGTGATAATGAAGAAGGATTGCTAAATAGATATGAGGTAGAAGAGGAATGTATAAACATTCAAAGAAGTGATCCAAATGTTCATGTTAAAAAAGAAATTAAACATTGTTCTTTTTCATATGTTAGTTCTGTGCAGGGAAATATTTATTTGTATCTTTATTTAGTTCTGAGTGTAACCGTCTCTGGTTATTAGTGCAGTAAAGACCAAACTTTGATATCTGATGCACTGTAATTGGGGCAATGTGGGACCTAAAAGGCTTTAGCAGTAATGTCCTTAAACTGTACTCTTACATAAAATAAAGTGGCGTAACTAAACCAACATTAAGTTATGCAAAACAAACGTCAACAATATGTAAAGCAGGGGTAACAGAGTTTGCAAACTTTAGGTCAAAACTGGTGAGTTTGAAAGGATTTAAGTTCTTTAAGTTAAAGATTTTTTTTTCTTTCAATTCAGCTATTCTGACCTAAAATTTGCAGTTACTTCACAACAATTTCTGGCTTAATGAATAACCTAAGCTGTATCAGAACAGCATCACATCCAGACAGTGCGACCAAATGTTAGCTGTCTACAAGTGAATAGATCTTTGTATATGTCAAGTTTTTAAAGTGTTAAAAAAAAAAATGCATCTTGTATCTTCATAACCCAGTGTGCAAAATAAGCTACAGACATACTCCATCCACACTGATGATGGCTGCCTGATTACTGAGCATCTCTTTCAGGTTGAAAAGAAGAGGACTAGGGTTTATACCTGTCTGGGAAGGATGGTAAAGTCCTGTTTGCTGCCTTGGTACTTTCATTTAATGTGTCTGCATAATTTCAAACATGAGGTGTGGCTGTGAATTGCATGAGGCATGGAGGAGGTCTGTGTAGTGCATGGAGTGTATCTGAACTGCATAGAGTCCCAAATAGAGTGTGCTCACTGCTCATTTCCAAGTGAGTAGTTTGCAGTACCAAGATATTCAGGATTATTCACTAAAGTAAGAATTTAAGGTAAATTTGAATGCAAGGTAAAATAGCCAAACACTCTGTTTGTCAGCTATACTTTCGAATCAGCTATTCTGACCTTTGTTTCATTAAAGGAACCCTATAGTCTCCTAAACAACTTTGGCTTAATGAAGCAGTGTTGGTGTGTAGATCATGCCTCTCAATTCACTGCCATTTAGGAGTTAAGTCACTTTGTTTCTGTTTATAAAGCACTTGCCACACCTTCCCTTGCTCTGATTGACACAGCCTGCATGAAAAAAAACAAAAAACTGGTTTCACTTTCAAATCAGGTGTAATTTACCTTAAACAATTTTATCTCTTGCTCTGTAAATTGAACTTTAATCACACACAGGAGGCTCTTGCAGGGTCTAGCAAGCTATTAACATAGCAGTGGATAAGGAAATCTAAATTAAACAGAACTTACAATAAAGGAAGGATAAACATTAGATGGCTTTTTACAGGAAGTGTTTAAGGAAGGCTGTGCAAGTCACATGCAGGGGTGTGTGACTAGGGTTCATAAACAAAGGGATTTAACTCCTAAATGGCAGATAATTGAGCACTGAGACGGCAGGGGCATGATTTATACACAAAAACTGTTTCATTAACCTAAAGTTGCTTTCATTACTATAGTGTCCCTTTAATAATACAAGTGCATTATGTCCCATGGAAATCAGCACTTTTATAAGGTGCCTTTTTAATGGTAAACTCACCCACGAAGCACACTGAAGTTCTTTATGGGTGTGGAGTAGTCCTCTAATTACACTGCCAGTTAAAGTTATTAGTGCTACAAGGGTGAAGATTTGGGGTTTAGCTTATAGAATATAGGCTGCCTTAAAGTTAGAATAATAAGATTTACAGTATATGTACAAGTTCTTAAAGGTCAGTACCCCCTATGGTGGGCAGTAGTGATGTCCCGGACGGCAAACATAAACTTTGACCCTGTACCTCACAGTCAGCAGACACATTCCAGCCAATCAGCAGCAGACCCTCCCTCCCAGACCTTCCCACCTCCTGGACAGCATCCATTTTACATTCATTGTGAAGCTGCATTCTTAGTGAGCTGTCCAGGAGGTGGGAGAGTCTGGGAGGGAGGGTCTGCTGCTGATTGGCTGGAATGTGTCTGCTGACTGTGAGGTACAGGGTCAAAGTTTATGTTTATGTTCGCCGTCCGCGGCGAACCGTTCGGGACATCACTAGTGGGCAGCATTCGGCACTCCAAATGTTTTGGACTACATCTCCCCTGTTATTTTTGCCAACATTATGGCTATGGAAAATGTAGTCCCCAACACCTGGCGTGCCAAAGGTTGTCTATCCCTGAGCCTAGGGGTTACAATTCTTTATTATTAATAAATTCAATCATAAATCCTACCGCCTCCAAATCATCAGTATTTTGAAAGGAGTTTGTTCTGTAGGGTGATACAGGGTATTGTATTACGGTGGTGGGGGATTGGGCATAAAAAAAGTTGACTGTACATTACTGTTGTTAATACAGGTGCAATGTTGCTGCATTCTTATGCGTGCAACAATATTACCGCATTGCTACAAGCAAAACATGATGCTTATATCCAACATTTTAGATATACACTTAGATACTTGCTATGTACTTCTTAAGTAGTGATGTCGCGAACCGTTCACGAACTTCCCGCGAACTTCCCGAGGGAGGGTCTGCTGGAGATTGGCCGGGATGTGTCAGCTGACCGGAGCAAGCCGTTCGCGGGAAGTTCGAACGGTTCGCGACATCACTATTCTTAAGTAGCTGAAGTTGATCCAATTTTACAAAATGCATAAAAAGCAAGCTGTTTTCATTGTTACTGGTCAAATATGCATCTGCAAAATGATGCACACCACAGAACACACATTTTTAATTTTGATTGAGCAATTTACTTATCTGCACAAGCACAGACAAAACACTGTAGACAACATCTTTCCCTTTATTTTCCTATTGGAAGACTCCTAAAACTTGGACGTATCTTCTGCTAGTACTAACGACATTTCTCTAATGAACAGCACATGGATGTTTAGAACTATAGCAATACACGCATAAACATGAAATGTGATGAGGTTTAAGTAAACATCCAAGGTTCTGTCCTTGGTCCCCTACTGTTCAAATGTACCTGTCCTCTCCTGATCTCTCTCCGCCCACCTTGATACGTGTCTCTGACTGCCTCTCCGTGATTTCCAACTGGATGGCTTCTCACTTCTTTAAACTCAACCTGTCCAAAACAGAACTACTGGTCTTTCCTCCCTCGAGTGTTGCTACTCCCGTGTCTGTCTCCCTCCAAGTCTACAGCACCACCATCACTTCTACCTCGCAGCCTAGTTGTTCTCTTTGACTCCAATCTCTCCTTCACCCCTCATGTCCACTCGATCGCCCAATCCTGCCGCTTTCATCTCAAAAACATAGCGCGCATCCGCCCTTATTCAACACCAGAGGCAGCTAAGGTGCTGGTCTATGCCGTTGTTCTTTCTTGCCTACACTACTGCAATCCCCTTCTCAGTGGTCTTACGTGTTCCCAGATTGCACCGCTGCAATCTATAATGAATGTGGTGGCGAGGCTCATTTTCCTGTCTGCTTGCACCTCCCACGCCTCCCCCTTCTGTCAGTACCTACAGTGTCTTCCAGTTAGATATAGGGCTCAATTTAAGATTCTGGTGCTTGCTTACAAGTCCCTACATAATGCTGCTCCAACCTACCTATCCTCCCCAATACACAAGTATGTCCCGTCGAGGTCCCTGCGCTCTGCCGAAGACCTACGCCTATCTTCTGTCCGTACTCTCACTTCTAATGCTCGCCTCCAAGACTTCTCCAGGGCTGCACCTCTTCTGTGGAACTCCCTTCCGTTAGACTTTTATCCACTCTCCACTCCTTCAAAAAATCTTTGAAAACACACTTCTTCAGCAAAGCATATAATTTAAACTGCTAGTGGGTTTTTATCCCTTCCCCTCCTCCCCCCCACCCCCCATGACTCCTCTCCTGCAACTGTCAAAAAAAACTACTAAGTTCTCAGTGATTACTTTTATAGCAACCTATTTCATTACCCCTACTTATACCCTCTGTGTCACTATACCCCACTCCCTCTAGCATGTAAGCTCATTGAGCAGGGCCCTCAACCCCACTGTTCTTGTGCGTCCATTTGTCTGGTTACAATTAGGTGTCTGTTAGTCCACCCATTGTACAGCGCTACGGAATTTGCTGGCGCTATATAAATAATAATAAAATAATATTTCAAATAAAGGTTACAAATTTTTTTTAAAGAAATTCGATGGAAAGTTACGTTTTAAATGGCCAGACATTGTTTTGTTTGTTTTTTTAAACATATAGGTCATTGTTGAAGGCTAACATCTGAATAGTTGTAGCTTTGTACTTTATACAGTGCTTCACTGGCATTATTTATTAACATTAGACTTGTGCATTCGGATTTAAATAAACTGCAATTTGTCCAAGTTCTGTAACTCTGTAGCACTATATGCATGTATAACCAAGAAAATTACTTGAGAAACTCAATAGGGATATATATATATATAACCAATCGACTAGCACAGTGGTTCCCAAACCTTTTAGGTTCAAGGCGCCCTTAATCTTTCAATATTTTTTTCAAGGCACCCCAAGTCAAAATTTCTAGGTTTTATATCTGTACATCGCTGTGACATTTATTGGTGCCATAGTGTGATGTACAGTGTTGGTGTTTGAAGGAGTGCTTGTAAATAGTTTGTGTTTTAATACAGGGGTGTGTTTGTATGTAATGTTTGAGTTTGATTGCAGGGGTGTGTCTGAATGTAATGTTGACTTTTTAATGCAGATGTACATTTGTGTGAAGTATTTGTGTTTGAGTGAAGTGGTGTGTTTGTATATTTTTTGGGAGTTTGAATGCAGGGGTGTGTTTGTATGTAATATTTGTGTTAGATTGCAGGAGTGTGTTTGTATGTTGTGCTGGTGTTTGATGGCTTGGGTGTATGCACACACACTACAACATACATACATAGATACTTATACAGATATACATGCACATTAACACACAGATACATTATTATTATTTATTATTATTTTATTATTTATATAGCGCCATCAGATTCCGTAGCGCTGTACAATGGGTGGACTAACAGACATGTAATTGTAACCAGACAACTGGACGTACAGGAACAAAGAGGTGGAGGGCCCTGCTCAATGAGCTTACATGCTAGAGGACAGATACACACCGACACCGACACATACACGCTCACACATAGATACACACCGACACAAACACACACTTTTACACACGTATACACTGATATATACATATACACACACACACACACCCTGACACACAGATGCACATACACAGATGTGTGCACACACATAGACACACACACACACTGACAGAAGCACACTCACATATATACACACACTCATATACACACAAGTGATATTTGTTTATATCTCCAGCCACCCTCCTTTTAACTTACCTTGTATGTCCAGGAGGGTGGCTTGGAGTCCTGCTGGCTGCTGAGTGTGAGGGGTCTAGAGCAGCTTTGGACTGCTCCTCTCCTCTCATGCTGCAACTGCCTCCTCCTCCTGCGCTGTCTCTCTGCATGACGCTGGGAGATAGTGACAGGCCCCTGCTCAGCAGTTATGTTTCCCGGTGCTATAATCATAGCACCGTGGAAATATTCCGTGGCACCCCTGTGTGCCTGTCACACAGATTGGGAACCACTGTACTAGCGCAATAGAAGTTCCTTTGATTCATGATTCAGAATTTCATTTCTTGCATAAAAAAGGGGGAAAACATGGAGAAGAACCTGATTTATTGGAGGCGAAGCGCAAATAAGCAGCTTAGCTTGCCATGATGGACACGAGGTCTGCTCAATGATGTGGGCTGTATCTCCTGTCCAATCAAGAGGCTATATTTCCATCAGGATCCTTCTAGACACTTTGACCTTTGCTATTGAGAGAGACAGACCAGCAGACAGGTCTTGTCTGGTTTTATCCTTGCTGTGCTTGTGTGGAAGCCAATTCCTTCTGTAGGGGTAGTAGGTGTAGCCACAACGCAAGACTCATCCAATCTGGGTGAAACCTATAAAAAGCTTTTTAAAAATGGGGAGCAGCAGCAGGAGTACTTTTTAATTTTAAAAAGGGGATTTCTTTTTTAAAGAATGGAAAAAATGAGTAAAATTTTCTTACCATTTGGTACCTGGGCTGTTTTTACATTTCTGCAATGACTGTGTTTAGCTGTAATTTTCCTCTTACTCATTTACTGTACCCACACATTTTATATACCGTTTTTCTCGCCATTAAATGGTCTTTCTGAATATACCCTTATTTTCATTATACTATATAATTTACTATAAAAAAAATTATAAAATGCTGAAATTTTTTTTTTAAAAAACACTTTTTCGAACTTTGACCCCCAAAATCTGTTACGCATCTACAACCGTCAAAAAACACCTGTGCTAAATAGTTTCTAAATTTTGCCCTGAGTTTTGAAATACCCAATGTTAACATGCTCTTAGCTTTTTTTGGAAAGTTATAGGGCAATAAGTACAAGTAGCACTTTGCTATTTCCAAACTTTTTTTAATCAAAATTAACGAAAGTTTATTGTAACACTGATAATCCCCGAATAACCCTTCACATGTATAGATTTTTTTAAAAGACAACCTGATGTATTAAACTTGGGCTATTTTGACTCTTTTCATGCAAACATTTTACCACCAATCTATGCCAAATTAAAAAAATAAAAATAATAATTGGTGATTTTTTTTGACACACGTAGCAATTTAAGAATACATGTACGGAGAACTTTAAGTGTTACTGCCAAAAAAACACCCCGATATGTGTTCAGCAACATCTCCTGAGTACAGTGATACCACCCATGTATAGGTGTGTCGGGTTCTCTCTGGGCTAAAAGATCATATTTGGAGGGTGCACATTCCAGTTTTCCAACTTGGAGATTTCACAGCTGGTCATCATGCACCCATGTCCTTTTTGGGACATTTTAGAAGCCGGCCAATGTAATTTACCCCCATCAAACCATATATTTTTGAAAAGTAGACAACCCAGGGTATTCAATATGGCATGTGTCCAGTCTTTTTTAGTAGCCACATAGTCACAAGCACTGGCCAAAGTTAGCATTTATATTTGTTTG